AGACAGAGGAAAATAAAACAGATAGAGAAAACTCAAGCCCGGATGATGCTGCTTAAGACTCCAGATCCAGTTATCCCCAAAGCTGCCTCTTTTTCAGTTCCAATTAGTTTGAAGAGTCTCCCTCCCTCATGTTTTTGGTTAAACTGATTTTAACTGGGTTTCTGTCATTTGCAAACTGATCAGTTAAAATTAGATTGGAACTGAGAAGTATAATCTGCATGGCCATTTATCAGGTTGGAGTAACAGAAATATATAACGCCAACTCTGCAAGGAAGGAGACACTCACACAAGGACACACTGCAGCTCTAAGGTACAACCCCCTTCTTGAATACAACCCCCTTCTTGAATGAGTATGGCTGTTTTAAATTCTGTCAGTAAAAAGAAAACATTCCACTTGTGCATGCGGGATTTAAGTCACTTTGACACAGAGAAGCAGCCTCAATTCACAGCCCAGGAGCAGAACTTTAGATAATGAGTTTCTGCACACAGCATTCCATAGCTACCTCACTTTGTAGGGTGAAAGGAAACCGGACTCTGAGTCCACTTTGCAGTCTAGACCTCCACTAGACTTTACAAAGCCCTACTTTGCTTTGAGTCTATCAAAATACTGTTTTGTTTAAATTTCATCTAAACTCCGCTTTTGCACAGAACTCTGTAACAACTTATATTTTCCTTTGGTGAGATGAACTTTGCAATGGATAAATAAACCTGATTTTGTTAGACTACAAGTAGTTACTGGTGGTTTTGGTTTGACGAGGACTGGGAAACCAAAGGGTTTTAAAATTATTATAGCTCTCTCTCCTACAATAATTCTTGCATTTAAACTGTTTTTATAATTAGAGGTCTGGTCGTTTATTCATCTGCAAAGCACATCTCATGAACATTTGAGACTATGAAGCAGATTTTTGAAGCTGGACTCCATAGCCTAGCTACTGACAGTGGGACGCCTGTGACAGTAGCATCAGTATCATTGGGATACTGCCTATCTTGTCAGAAAGGCAGAATCTGGGGCCCGTCTCTGACATGCTGAATCAGAATCTGATCTTTTATGGAGATCGCTATGTAGTTGTTTGCGCAATAAAGTTTGAGAAATGCTGCTCTGGACAGTCCTAGGAATTTCAATAGAGCCTCTCAGGAAGCTAGGGGATAGGGAAAGGGGACATAAAGCCACTGGTCTTTCCCTATGACAGCCATCCTGTAATATATTGCTTTGTGATTTCATTTTTCTGTAAACACTCCTTTACAGTAAGAAAAAAAAAAAATTGAAACACTGCTATTTTAAGCCACATTAAATACTTCATTGTAAATGAACTCATCATTTTGTGTGTGTGTGTGAGAGAGAATAAGTTTTGTTTGGTGAGGACAGGGGAAGGAAGAATTCTACTAAGAAAGAGCTTGGAACCCAAACACAAAGCCCCCTACTCAATTTTGTCATTTGCCTGTCTGTGTGGAGATGGATGCTAGCAGGAGCTGCTAGTTCTTTTAGACCACATACACATGTGGTTCTAGAATGATTCTAAATAACAGAGTTGGGAGGGTGGGTCTCTCAGAACCCTGTTTTTATAAAAATTAAGAAATCAACTAGGATAATGTCTTGAGAGAATGAGAAGCCAGGAAGATAAATTTGACCAAGAAGAAAGCTGTGGTCTTCAAAGAGGAGTGGCAATTTTGAGAATAGCACAGTAGTTGTCACTGGAATTAATTTCTGTCTCCAGGCCATAGACGAGAGAGAGGGAGAGGGGGATGGGGATAGATAGTAGGAGAGAGGGAGGGAGAGCGAGAGAACCAGATCTAAAAATGATATGCCTGCAATCCCAGCACTTGGGAAAGGTGAGGCAGGAGGATCACTTGGGACCAGGAGTTCAAGACTAACCTGGGCAACATAGTGAGACCCTGTCCCTGCCAAAAATTTTTAAAAGGCTGGGAATGGTGGTGCATGCCTATGGTTCCAGCTACTAGGTAGGCCAAGGTGGGAGGATCACTTGAGCCCAGGAGCTTGAGGATGTAGTAAGCCATGATTGCACCACTGCACTGCACTCCAGCCTAAGGAACACATGGAGACTCTTGTCTCAAAAAAAAAAAAAAAAAAAAAAGAGCTTCCACTTCTCCCCTCCTCTGATCTTGGGTAATTATTAGAACATAAGAGCCTATATCTAAGCCCCTCTTTTGGAATGTAACATAAAGGGAGGAGAAACATTTCCTCACCTAGCTTTACTTGGCCATAGGCCAGCTACCCCTTTAGTCCTGGAAGACTCCACCTTTGTAGGATGCCCAGCTGTAGATAAGCAGTGGTAACTGGGCAGATTGCTGGGTCTGGCAGAGAAAGGGCAGAGACCAGAGACTGCAGTGGGCATCAAGATGAGAAAGAAGCACAGGCAGTACCCAGAAGTAGTGGAGTTTAATATGAATCGAACAGGAAATAATGTCAAAAACTGAAATTATTTTTGCAACAACCTAGTATCTTCTGGGCCCTCAGAAAAGCATGGGGTAAGAGATAGTCTTCCAAAAGGGTATGTGAGTAGAGGTCTTGTGTGGGAGCAGGAATCTGTGGAATTTTAGTTAACAATTTATGCAACCCCACATGTGTCTATGGGTGAATGAAAAATTTAATAGGATATTTTGGGAAAATTAAACAGGACATTTTGTTGAAGCTCAAAATGTAATCTGCTCCTCAACTCTTTTTCACTCTTTTTAGAATAGATAAGCCAAGTTCCCATGGTTGAATATTCTTTGTAAAGATTTAGAGTTGACTTTAAAGCCTAAGAGACAAGGTCTTTTACTTTTATAGAGGACACCATGCAGGGTATTTTCTCCTAAATTCTCTTCACTTTCTCAGCATTTCTCCGAGGAATACAAGAGGTAAAGGATACTGCCTTATAGTTTTTTGAACGCTCATTACCACTTATCAGTACTTAGCATGTATGTGACCCTCATCAAGCAAGTGTCCACGGTTCGATTGGGTCACAATCAGCCACACTTTGATTTCATTGTGTCCAAACATGTTTTAATACCTGCTATGCCCTAGGAATACAAGAATATTTTACCTTCAATGCTTAAATCAAAGGCTAATATTCTTAGAGTCTCAAGAGAAAAGGATTATTGGTTCTAAATTAAAATGTTCTGCCTTATCCCCATACAATGTAGAAACCAGTCTACAGGCACATTTTTTTTTTTTTTCTGTAATGAAAGAGTACAGTTTAATAACAGCTGGGTAGTTGTGTTGAGGCAAAAGATTTTTTCTTGTTTCTCAGTATAACCCCAGGAGGTCAAGCTGACATATTCCTCTGAAGAAGTAAGTGCAAATAGAGAATAAGGGTTCTGCCAAGAGGTGCTTCGGGAGCTGCCAGCATTGGTGTTCTCAAACACCTTCCTCTCCCTGTCACTATGGCACTGAGGCCCACTTGTTAGAGTTTAATGTAGTTCACCTTTGCCTCACAGCTCCAGATGTTTCTAGGAATAGTTCTGTCCACAGGACTGAAGAGTGAATATGGTAGCAGTGCCCATCAGATTTAGATTCACTTCTTGCTACTTAATTCCAGTGCAGCCATTATTATGTCTTATTGCTAAGAACATACATTGAACTACATGTGGAGAGCCAGTGATGAAACCTCTTATTGTGCTACAGTATTTTTTTCCACCCAAAAAGAATTATCTCCTTCAATTCCAGATGATATTTTTACCCCTTTGATATAGGAAGTACCATAATTTTTACCTTATATAGAGGAGATACCTCTTTTATTTATGGGGTCGGCTTACCTGAGATGCAGAAGTCTACTTATTAACATCTCAGTGGTGCCATCAGTCTCTCCTGTGGAGCAAAGACAGTTTCTTCTCAAGTCTGGAGGTGAGGGGAGAAAGGAAAAGGGTGAGAGGTCTGCTTTTTCTGTTTTAAAGCTACAGGTAGGAAGTGGCCACTAGCTTGCACACAGTGCCCTGTACATAGTGGCAAAGATTGTGTTAGGGAGAGAACAAGAGTCTACTCTTCATTGCCTGTGGTCATGACCAACCTATTTCCAATTATACTTTTTTAGAAGTTGTCCCTTTCTTCTCAGGCTTAGGAATAACTGTGTTCAAACCATTTTATTATCTGGGGACATTACTTTGAAAATGTCATTGAGCATGAATGCTTTGCTTGGAGACAAAATAGTGCCAGTTGTTAGCTCAAGTGAGAGACTACCAAAGATGTACTTTGTCCATTTTCCTAGGAAACTTTTTAGAAATGTTTTATAGTGCTTAGCGGGGAGCCTGCCACAAAGTAGGCAAATGTTTACTGAATGACACAATAAATGAATAACAGCTCTGATGAAGCTATAGCAATATTAAGGACACACAGATACAGTTATGTCGATTACTATTTGCAGACATACACCACTTCTTGAATGTAGCAATCATTACAGCTTTATAAATAGAAATCCTCTGTGCGTATTAGTAGAGTCTTTGGGGGGATTTATGTCCATGCTCAGTCCCAAAGATAATCTTGGACCATATTTATTTGCTTGACTATTTTGATAATACTATTACAATGCTTAAATTTTGTTTTAAGTATGATTTAAACTCCAGCAGGTAGAGTTTACTTGGTGAAATACAAAGGCGATTCCACTCCTGAAATAATGTCTCATGTATTAGGTACCATGCAGGCCCAACAAAAGTAGATAGATTTCCTTCACCCGAAGCTTTTAACTTTGAAATGGTGTTTTATAATATTAATATACTATGTTACTGTAATATTGCTACATTGATATGGGCCTTCTACATAATATCGGAAGTGAAGTGTATTGGACATCAGATACCTAACTTTTATACAAATTGAAGGACTCACAGCGTTGACTTTATTGGTAGATAATACACATATATATTTTTATGGTAGAAACCCCAATATGATGATTCACATTGTTAAAAAAGAATTATATTTTTTGATGCTCTGAGTCATGCCCTATTTAAGAGATCCATTTTGAGCTTATAATGAAGCACTGATGAATATTAAAATAAAAATAAAGATAATTGGTACCAGCACTTTATTAGGCATTTCACTGAATACAAATAAACTTTTTTACATTAAGAACACAATCTTATCAAAAAAATTCACATTTTCTATACAGATTGTAGGCATGGATTTTCTTTACACCACATTTATTAAAGTATCAATGACCAGATCCTAAAAAGAGAAGGCACAAATCTGTCTTTCTCTGGTGAATTCCCTGTGTCTAATGAAGGAAATGTCACCAGCCCTGCAAATTCCCATCCTCCAGAACTGAAGCAAATCAATGGAAATGTGTGTAAGCAGGAGTCAGGAGATGGACATGTTATATTAAAGGATTTGGATTTTCCTCTGCCACTTATAGGCGTTTCAAGAGAGGAGGTAGCTACCGAAAATGTTTCAAAACTCTGTCTACATTCAGGCTCTGTCAAGGATTCACTTTTGGAAACGAGAGTATTTGAAAGCTAGAATTTAGGAATTCCAACATGTTTCTATTTTCTACACTGTTTTTAGAAACTAGCCTTTGATCTCACTGTTCTTATTTTGGGGCTTCTTGGGTTTTCAATTCCAAAACAATAAAATAGTGCTGGTTGTTATAATTTTCTTTGACAAGTCTCTCTGCCAGGTGATAGCTTCATGTCAGGTCAGATTCTATCCCCCACTCGTGCCTGCCTCCCCAGTCTCCCAACAATGTTCTGAGGAGGTGTCACCAGGGCAGTGTCTATACCTCAGACTCTTTTATTCTTCCAGCAGTGAAGACAGTTCCTTCCTATATCACCTTTTCTACAATTCCGTAGATGACCAGTTTTAACGTGATAAAAATAATTTGTGGTAAGGTGTTAATGGGAGAAATAATGAATTAGTTTGTTATCTCTCTGAAAGAAAAAAGAAATTGAGTTTAAAAGAGGTCCTGGTACTAAGTTAGGAGGTGCTGCCACTTTTTAGGAGCATTTCTAATATGTCGGTGTGTTTTGGTTTTCCCAGTTACTGGGAAATGCTACATAAGGGATTAATGGGGAAACTTGGACCTCACAACAGGCTGGCGAAGGGAAATGTTGAACATGGTGGCATTCATCTTGTGAAGATATTTACTTGAGTATCCCATCTGTATTCAAGCTGGCCCTTCAAAAAGCATTTGCAGGACCTAGAGCTGACCAATGTTTTCCTTCTTCAAGGACATTATGACTGCAGATACTCATAAGGTGTCTGAACACAGGGGTATGGAGGGAGGCAGATCTCGCCCCTTATAGTTAGCCCAGCTGAAAAAGATTAGAAAGGCAGTGTGGATAGAATTGTGAGATTTAAGAAAAAATATATAGGACACACCCAGTTACATTTGAATTTCAGATAAACTTTTTTTAAGTGAAAATATTTCTGATAAAATACATGAGAAATACACTAAAGGAATAATGTTTATCTGAAATTTAAATTTCACTGGGTATCCTGTATTTTACCTGGCAACTCTAAATGTTGAAAAGGAATAACTAAGGATGGAGAAAGAAAGGAAGTAAGAAAGTTAATTAATATTCTGTACCCAGATGCCAAGCCCAAAGAAGGTCAGAATTTTTGCTTCAAGCATGACCACGTGTGTAGATCCTTGTCAGTCACGAGTTTTCTATCGCTAGACTAATTCTACACGTGGGGCAGACCGGAAAAGTGTGCAGGTTGCATGCTTGTTTTCTCGAGAGGAGAACCATGTTGGAACCACCTAGTATGGGTGGGCCTTTAAAAGCTCTCCTAACACCAAGGCAGTTCATTTTCCTTGAGAAGATCGAATTTTAAAAAGTAATGGTTTGGAGAAACAATTTTTCATGGAAAATTTATCATTAAAGAAAAATGGGTGCCATGTTGGGAAGGTCAACTTTCGAGGTGTACTGGCTTTATTGCTGATGAAAACAAATTAGTCTGTGTGTTGATGAAGTTAATACATGAATTGATGTTTGATTATTTCGAAAAGCAATGGGGGTGCCTCACAAGCTGGACAGTTTGCTTGTGGGAACTCAGATAGGTTCTAAAAGCCCATTCCTCAAAAAATTAAAAGACACCATTTTTAACAAAAACTTAATTTCGGTTTCAATTTTAAATCCAAATTGCAGCAACAACGAAAAAGTGTTAATAAATTAAGGCTGGTCACAATGTGCCCTTTTTCTTTAGGATAAGTTTGATTTTTGATAAGCGATTATATACTTACACACGCATACCACATACAAGCACATACTTTTGACTCATACAAATATACATTTAAAACTAATACCTGCAAAATAGTATCACAATGGAAATAACAGTTACACAATTTTCAAGAGATTCAATTGACATATTTTACAAATTCTACGGAACATTTTATCATTATCATTGGGAAAACAAACAATTTAGAGCATTATTTAAAACTGTATGTAACACAGGAGCCACCAATAAGTTATGGCAAATATAGCATTTACACTATGGTGTCACTGAAATCTAGCTGAAAAGACTAAAGTGCTGTAAAATAAAATGCTCTTAAAAACCTTGTTTAGCATATCCTGAGGACGTTATGCATGATTTTCTATTAGCAATTCAAAGTGTGAGCACTGTGCCTATGGAACTCCTGTTTGGTTGAGTGACCAAAGATTAAAAGATTGTGTCGTTGGATCTGTAAAACTGTAAAACTGAAAAACTCATGGAAACATGCATTTCCTGAGACTTCCAACTTTCCAGTCTGGAATCCTAACAAGGAAGATCCTGAACAAATAACCCTGGCTAAAAACATGTCAGAATTTCAAAGAACTTAAACAACTTTAAGTGAAGATGTGTGTATGTGTTTGTAATTTATAGTCTAGTCCATCTTGGATTCTCTAATATGAAGTGAAATTGACAATTTAGATAGATTGTTAGTGCCAGGCATTTTCTATTTCTGATGGTCTCACTTTTCATTGGTTTTCTAGTTACCTTTCTCCTCTTAAATATTTAAATATTTGAATTACGTTTATATCTACTAATGTAGGAGATACTGATTTTAAGAGTTGAAACAACAATAGAATTAGATTGATTCAAGTGCAGTTTCAACTTGAATAATAAGTGTATGTGTGTGAAATGTGCATTCTGTGTGTGTGTGTGTGTGTGTGTGTAATGTGTGTATGTGCACATACAGGTGTATACATGGCAAACATTTTATACTCTAATACATTCACTGTTAGGTGGCACTCCATGAAAAGTAAGTTTTCCCAGTATGGCTGAAAGTAAATATTGAGGTCATCATATAGAATATCCTAAGGCTTTTAAAAGCTGCCTCCTCATTCTCTGCATTTACATGATTGTGTGGCAAATAGGGAGACATAAATGATACTGGCAGAAGAAAAATTTACTATATTAGTCCTTGAAAATTACAGACAGGAAAGGAAAGCAAACTTAAAAATGATCTCTTTGCATATTTTCTCTCATCGCACCCACTCCTTTGATTTCCTGCTGTAGATTGGGTAAAAGTTAGATTGTATTTGGTTGGTTGTTTTGTCTTGTTTTTTGCCTTGCAGGACTTGTGAAATAGTCTTAAGAAACAAGCAAAACAAAAAGTGCGCCAAGATGTATCTACCGCCATTTGGGGCCCATGTGTAGCCCTTGTGCTACAAGCTCTCTGAAAAGACAGTGCTCAGCTAAGACAAAGGTGCATAGGCTGAGGGTAAGCTTCGATTGCATATCACCATTTTTCACTTTTAGAAGGCCTGCAGTATGCTTCCCCAGTGTGCTCCAGGGCAGGGCTAATGGATAGAAGACAGTCAAAGCCACCTTCTCTCCATTCCCATTTCCAAGGACTCCCTTTTAGTAAACTCCCCCTCTTGCTAGAGTATCCATGGCTCCCTGCTACCTCTTCCCTCCTTTATAAATTAAGGCAAGTCCATTTACTCTCAGCGCCTGCTACATAGGCACTGTATGTCCACACGGAAAGCATAGCATTGGCTTGAAAGTGCCTTTTGTCTAACAAGGTTTCTGGGTGCCTATCATTAGCAGCAGTACAAACCTTTCCCTAGTTAAAAAACCGCACAATTATTCAAAAGCTTCATCATGTTTGTTTTTTTCCAGCACCCAGTTGACAAATAGGACAAAGTTAATTCTAAGCAAACACTATGAGAAAGTATCTAGGTTCAAGAAAATACAACATAGTTACCTCTATATTTTATTCATTAATATGATGAAAAATCTGTTTTCTATTATATTTATAACATTAAATTAGTGTGTCATTGCAAGTATGCTTGGCTAAAGATCCTCCTGAAGGATAAATGAATAGCCAGTTAGAGAGAAAGTCTGTCCCAAAACCAAATGTACGGGACATACATTTCAATAATCCTAATCATTTTAAAAGGATTCATATACATTTTCACATAATAAAACTACAAGGGAAGGGAAAATGGAGAGAAGAAAAGAAATATATTTTAAAAATAATTAAGTCTTACGCTAGAATTCTTTTACAAAAATACTTTAATGTGATCATAGACTCTACTCTCAAAGGTTTTATTACTCTTTTTCACACATGATTAAGGGTTTCAGTCTTAAAATTAAATTATTTAATATTATCAATGTTTTCATTTGAAAAGAAGAATGGTACTGTGTCTGTCCATATCTATGTGTGTTTGTGTATGTTTGAATCTGTATGCTTGCACAGGAGTGGGCATATGTTTGTATATTGTGTATGGCAAGATATATACACACAACCCAAATGTATACACACATTTTGTGTGTACATGTATGTTATTTGGTATACCACAGGTACATACACACTCCTTAAAAACATTCTCTTCAGTACAAACAATTCCTTTCCCTCCCTTTAATTGCTAATAAGTACTATTTTCTGATCATGAGTATTTATAATCTTGAAATCAACTCTTGATTATTTATGATCTTGACATATATAGTTTTGAATTCAACTCCCTTATCTAAGTCTAAGAGATTAAGCCATATGTCCTACATTTAAGTTCATTAAAAGCTGAGGGCATGCTTTTATTTCTCTATGACCCTACTTTTCATGGACTGTATTATCCTAGGAAACTATTGCGGTGTGATTATTTCTAAACATGAAAATAAAATAATTCATAATTGTAAGAATTTCATCAAATTTTATAATTTTTATAAACACTTCACAATATTCCTGTGAAGTACATAGCCAAGGATTATTGTGCTCTTACTAAGTTTTTTTTTTTTTTTTTTTTTCACTTTTTAGAGTTGTCAAATATCACAGAGACTCCAAGGAGGAACTAATGCTCAAGCTATGTCATTGTTCTTCCCTGTAGACCCGGACTATTAAATATTGGGTTGCAGAAACTTTGTATGAAACTTTTGCCTCTGCCTTAACCTCATCCTTCAGACAGGATGAAACTCAGAAGTGAGGAGTCAGTGCCAATTTTAAACAAGTCCACTCAGATCTCATAAATTTCAAGAGTTTCCTAAAGATATTTCACAGATCCCTGTGATTTCATGGACATAATTTCAAAAACATTGCTCTAACTCCTTCTGTCAGCCTTCCTCTTTCCTTCAAGTTGAAAACTTGAAGTTTCTTGAAAAATCTTCCTTAAAATATGGAATTTAGAATTAAATATTTGAAAATTCCAAATTGGCAGGAAAGCTTGCAGTCTTTTTTTTTTTTTCTTCCTCCCTCCCTTCCTTCCTTCCTTCCTTCCTTCCTTCCTTCCTTCCTTCCTTCCTTCTCTTTTTTTTTCTTTCATCAAGAGCATCATTAAGAAGGCCTTTTAAAGAGTTCTTTTCAGAGTTTTCAATTTTATCACAGTTGTACCTTACCATGTACTGGGTACTTGCAGGGAAATATTATTTAAGAGATTGCCAAATTAAAATGCCATCCATCTCTTTCACCCCTCAATCATCATTCCCTCTGAAGTTGGCATTCACAGTTCTCCAAAAATATTTTTATCCTATATTTATAGCTGCCTTAAATAGAAATACTGTGAAACACTATTATTTTCATATAACAAAAATCACTGATTATGACCTTCAATATTACTGATGCATGGAAACTGATTTGATGCAGATTTTCTATGACCAAAAGTTAGCTATGATTGCCCAACTGCAGGTGACTATAGAGTATTATACCAAGTCCCACAAAACAAGTACATTTTAAGACAACAATGTAATACACAAAATGTTGGGCATTCAATTGTTTTGATTTCCATATAGCATCTGATTAAAAAGAGTGAGCAAGAGAGGGAGCAGAAAGGTTACAGGATATAGACAGTGTAGGAGCTGTAGGATGGAAATAGAGAATCTAATCAAGTAAACACATGTAAGTTCTATGTTACAAAGACTAATTTTGAAAAACAAAGTTACTGGTCTTTTTTTTTTTTTTTTCTTCCTAACACTAGAAGTAGATTTCACGCATCAAATGGGAAATGAAATATTTATAGTAATGAAGAGTATGATTGTAATCACTGAAGAAATAGTTTTTCCCCCTTTCCCACCCACTACCAGCCCTATTCCCTTCAGAGACTCAGTGAAATAGGAAGATCAGATTGTTTACAGATAATATGCCCTAATACAATGAGCCTTCTCCATCTTAATCATGGAAACTCCAAGTAGTGCTATCAAGTGTTGGCTTCTCCTTCATCAAAGACATAGTTGAGCTTTATGACAGTGCTGATAAAGTCACCAAGTTCTACAAAATCGGCAGTGACAATATTGATGCCACTCTCTCCTGGCTTCTGTGTGCGGACCCACTGCATCATGGCAGGAAGAGCTCTGAGAAAGGAAACAAAAAGAAAAGTCACAGAAGGCAAGATATTATTTTTCAAGCTCTACAATTCTCAGTCTTCCCTTTAGTTTCTAGCTTATTAAAATAAATGTTTCACTTATAGGTACAGGAAGAGGAAAAGGCCACATGGACTCTGGGGGTTTCTTAACCTTTACAGAAACTCTGTAAGAGAAATATTCATATTGGTCCGTATTGGAGTCCTCATCTCCGCAGATCCCAGATACTGTGATAGTTTATAATGATGCTTCCCTACTAAGAAAACAACATTGTTGCATTTATATTCTGATTTTACATGGTGTCATCACAAACCCTGCAAAACTATGGAGTAGGGAGGTCAGAGATAAATACATGCACTTAGTAAACATTTATTATGAACCCACTATTATGAGGAAATGTGCTAAGATATTGTAAATAGACATAATAGTAAAATCCTCTGCCTTCAAAAAGTGTACAGTTTGGTGGTGGGTAGGCAGACAAGGAAGAAATTGTAGCACAATATAATCAGGGCTCATTTCTTCAAACACATTTACTGGGCACCTATTAAGTTCCAGTCATCACTGTAGGCACCTGGAGGATTCAAGTAAACAAAACAGATAAAAATATCTTTCCCTGTGGAGCTTACATTCTCATAAGGAGAAACAGACAATAAACAAGAGTCATAAAAATGTGTAGTTTGATAGGAGGGAATAAGTGCTATAGAAATGGAGAAAAGAAAGGAAGATTAGTAATCTGCAGGTGGGGAGGAGTGATGCAGATTGCATTTTAAAATAGGGTGGCTTAGTATGCCTCAGTGATAAAAGGACATTTGTGCAAAGGTTTGAAGGTGACAAGGGCGTTAGTCATGTGGCTATCTAGGGAGAGCATCCCAGCTATTGCCATGGCACAAAAGGGGTAGCATGCTTAAGCTTAGAGAAAAGAAGAGAGTAGTAAAAAATGAGGGTAATGAGGAAAAGGGGGCAGATTCTATAGGGTACATTAGGCCATTATAAACGTTTTGATGTTCACTCTGAGTAAAATAGGGGCCTTTGATGTATCTTGAGCAGAGGAGCGGTGTGATTAGACTTTCACTGTAAGAGCTCATTCATCACCATGAGACCATAGTGGAGAGTCACCTAGCATAGCCTGGAAAATCAAGGAAAACCTTTCAGAAGGATGCTCCCTAAAATAAATATTGAAGGATTATGAAGATTTAGCTGGATAAAGGTGGGAATGGTAGATGGAGGATGATGCAATGCACTTTCAGGCAGAGGAAATACCATTTTTACATTCATTAACAGAATCATGGTGTGTACTTAGGAGCAAGGGATACAGGCAGACAGATACAGGTGATGTTAATGATGATGTCCAGCTTCGTCTGACAGCATATTGGAATAAGAACTACTATAACTTGGGCAGGGCAGGAAGGGAGATTTCCATGACAAAAGGATAAATGAACAGGCCAGAGACCTGATAGTGTACTAACAAAGAAAGTTTGATGGAAATACATGTGAACATTAAATTTCTGGATGAAATGGAGAGGGAGAGGGAGAGGGAGAGAAAAGGGAAAAAAGGGAGGAGAGTTTAAAAACCTAGAAGAAGTTGTATAAAAAAGGTAAGGTTGTTTTGAAAGATGTTAAAGAGAAAAAAACCCAGACAATAGAGGGCCTTGAGAAATATGTAACAACTGAATTGGGAGGCTGAGCAAGATGGTGGAACAGAAGGCTCCACATCCCCCTGCAAGGACATAGTCCCACCTGCAAGGATACTAAGTTAACAACTATCTACATAACAAAAAAAAAAAAAAAAAAAAAAAAACAAAAAAAACCACCTTCATAAGAACTACAAATAAGGTGAGTACCTATAGTACCTGGATTTAACTTTATATTGCTGAAAATACCACTGAAGAAATAGAAAAAAAATCCTGAATCACTGTCACTATCCCTTTCAACCCCCACCAGCAATGGCCTGGTAATGGAGAGCACCTCTGGGCTCTGGGGAAGGGAGAATACACTAATTGTGAGGTATTAAACTCAGTGCTGTCCTGCTAGAGCAGAAATGAAAACCAGACCTAACTCAGCTGATGCCCAGTCACACAGGGAATATTTAAACCAGGCCTAGCCAGAGAGGGAATTGCAGATCCCAGCAGTCAGAAACTGAGTGCCTGCAAACTTCACCACAGAGGGCTACAGTATTCTGTATCTCCAAGTAAATTTGAAAGGCAGTCTAGGTCTTAAGAACTGCAACTCTTAGGCAACTCCATACTGAGACATCAGCTTGGGTAATCAAGGGAGTGCTGGCATCACCTCTCCCCTAAACCAGGCTGCACAGCTTATGGTTGTAAAAGAGACCCCTTTCTTCCACTTGGGAGAAGAGGGGGAAGAATGGTGAGGACTTTGTGTTGCCTCTTGGATACCAGCTCAGCCACAGCAGGATAGGGCACCAGTCAGAGTCATGAAGTCCCCATTCCAGGCCCTAGCTCCCAGATGACATTTCTAGACACACCCTGGGCCAGAAGGGAACTCGCTGCCTTGAAGAAAAGGATGTAGACCTACCAGCATTCATCACCTGCTAACTGAAGAGCCCCTGGCCCGAAATAACCAGCAGAGATATCCGGGTACTACATCTTGGGTCTTGGGTGAACCTCTGAGACTTGCTGGCAAGAAAGACTCAGCCCATTACTAGCTATGGTGGCTGTGGGACAAAACTGCTTCTTGTTGAGAAAAGCGGAGGGAAAAGTAAAGGGGACTTTGTCTTGCACCTTAGGTACCAACACTGCCATGGTGGGTAGAGCACCAAACAGACTTTTAGAGTCCCCGATTCCAGGACTTGACTGTTGGATGACATTTCTGGACCTGCCCAGGGTCAGAGGGGAGCCCAGTGCCCTGAAGGGTGAGTCCCCACCTAGGCAGCATCCACCAGAAGCAGACTTAAGAGATCTTGGACCTTAAGGGAACATCAGTGGCAGTCTGGAAGTACTCATCATGACTGGGGTGGTGGTGGCTATACGGTGAGGCTCCTGTACCTTTGGAAAGGACAGGGAAGAGTGGTAAGGACTGTGTCTTGTGTTTTTAGTGCCAGTTCAGCTGTAATACAATAAAATACCAGATATATTTCTAAGGGTTTTGGCTCTACTTCCTGACTCCAGATGGCATTTCTGGACCCACCCAGGGCTTGGGGAACCTTGCCATCCTGAAAGGAAGGATACAGACCTGACTGGCTTTGCCACCTGCTGATTGTTCAGCCCCAGGTTCTTGAGAAATCATACACAGTAGCCAGGGACTGGTTACAGCAGGCCTTGCATGAGAGCCAGTGCTTTGCAGGCTTCAGGTATGACCCAGCACAGTCATAGTGGCGGTGGCCACAGAGGTGCTTGTTTCACTCCATCCCCAGGTTTACGTGGTTCAAAATGGAGCAGGAGACTCTGTATGTTTGGAAGGAAGTAAGGAAAGGGAACAAATCTCTGCCTGGTAACTTAGAATTCTCCCATATCTGGACTGAGATCATCAAGGTGATACCTCTATAAGTCATCAAGAATCACAGCATTTCTGATCTTGGGGTGCCCCTTAAAGTAGACACAGCTTAGATCACAAAACCCAAGTCTTTTCAAATTTCCAGAAGGCGTCCCTGAGAAGGATGGCTACAAAAAAGCTCAGACAGAAAAGACTAGAATAAATACCTAACTCTTCAATGTCCAGACACTAAAGAATATCTAACTGGCATCAACACCGTCTGGGGAAATGTGACCTCACCAAATGAACTAAATAAGGCACCAGGGACCAATCCTGGATAAACAGAGATATGTGACCTTTCAGATGAAGAACTCAAAGTAGCTGTGTTGAGGAAACTCAAACAAGTTCAAAATAACACAGAGAAGGAATTCAGAATTCTATCAGATAAATTCAACGAAGATATTAAAATAATTAAAAAGAGTCAAGCGGAAATTTTCTGGAGCTGAAGAGTGCAATTTGTATACTAAAGAATGCATCACAGTCATTTCATAGCAGAATGGATCAAGCAGAAGAAATAGTGACCTTGAAGACAGGGTATTTGAAAATATACAGAGGAGACAAAAAAAAAAAGAATAAAAAACAATGAAGCATGCCTACAGGATGCAGAAAATAGGCTCATAAGGGCAAATCTAAGAGTTATTGACCTTAAATAAGTGAAAAAGAAAGACATAAGGGTAGAATGTTTATTCAAAGAAATAATAACAGAGAACTTTCCAAAATTAGAGAAAGATATTAATATCCAAACACAAGAAGATCAGGAGAGCATGACATGACATATTTAAGGTGCTGAAAGGAAGAAAACCTTTTACCCTAGAGTGGGATATCTAGCAAAAATATCCTTCGAGAAATAAAGACTTTCCCAAACAAAAGCTGAGGGATTTCATCAATACCAGACCCACCCCACAAGAAATGTTAAAGAGAGTACTTCAGTCAAAAAGAAAAGGTCATTAATGAGCAATAAATAATCAGTCAAAGGTACAAAACTTATTGGTAATGGTAAGTACACAGAAAAACAAAGAATATTATAACGCCGTCACTGTGGTAAGTAAACTACTTTTATCCTCAGTAGGAAGACTAAACAATGAACCAATCAAAAATAAAAACTACAACAAATTTTCAAGACACAGTCAGTACAATAAAATATAAGTAGAAGCAACAAAATGTTTAAAAGTTGGGGGATGAAGTTAAGGCATATTTTTATTAGTTTACTTTTTGTTTGTTTACTTATGCAAATAGTGTTAAGTGATCAAGTTAAAATAATGTGTTATAAGATAGTATTTGCAAACCTCCTGGTAAACTAAAACCAAAAACATGCAATGCATACACAAAAAATAAGAAGCAAGAACTAAATTATCTCACTAGGGAAAATCATCTTCACTAGAGGAAGACAGGCAGAAAAAGAAAAAAGGAAGAGAAGACCACAACACAACCAGAAGACACATAACAAAATGGTAGGAGTAAGTCCTTACCTATCAATAATAACATTGAATGTGAATGAA